GCATGCACAGAGCTATATACAAATTCAATTTCCTCTACGGAGGCTCAAAAAATTAAAATTAAATCGTTACTATCATAGTCGAAGATATCACATATAAATTTCTGTGCCGATTGAAGTCGGTTAAAGCGTGTCGCACATCATCGATTTTGGGTATAGTTAGGATGACAAAAAAATTATTTTAATTTAAAGGAATCTGTACTTTGCCCCTAAACCGTCTGCAAACGCGACCAAACTTTATATGATATCAGTGTTGGTGGTACCGATTCAGGGGATGAGACTGAAAGGCATCGTTCATTTGGTTTTTTAAGGGCCACCCTAATGCATATAAGTGCATAAAGCGAACGCATATAAATGATGGAAAGAAAATAAAATCTTTACTTCTTCGCTCCAACTAGCAAAAAAGGTTATCAGCTCAAAGCAGAGGGTGTTCAGAAACGGGTTGTAAAGTAAAAATTATTAGTTTAGGTTGAAACAACTGAAGAGCAGAACCTTCCTTACTAATTGGCCAATAATAATTACGCCATATACATATGGTATATGTACTAATATCTTTCGATGCTATGAGCAGTGGCATATCTGCAAGGTTTGCTGTCCCACAGGACCTAAGAGTTTTCTCGTTCAAACGGGGTTCTTGATATTCCTACCGTGTTCTTTCTAATTCGTCTACCTTTGTTTGATACACCCATGACCTGTTGATACACCTACGATATCTGGGGCGCTTAAACAGTTTTGCGCTTCTTTGTAGGCCTACTTAACGCCATCCTTTATTAAGTCATGTAAAAGTAAATTCGTAGGGGGTATCTAACTATCTTGATTCCAGCGCCATCTGCCGGTACCCAACACTTCAGAAAGATTTCGGTACCTAATACTTACTTTTCGGTGCCCAATAGAAGATCTACATAGATTTTATTTCGACTACGAATATTTTTCACAATTTTTCAGGCCTACAAAGATAACAGCGTCCGATTCATCTACCAAAAAAAAGGTTTCACTCGGATTTTAATAGGCTAGGCTCCCCTGAACCGCTTCTCTTTTTGGCCTTTATGCGTTCTTATTGGAAGCATAAATATTTCAGTACCGAGTATCGAAAGTATTGGATACCTTTTAAATCGGTACCGAGTGTCGATCAATACCTAAAAGTATCGACTCAGCACATCACTACGGCAATTTTTTTCCAGAATCAGTTCTTATCAAAATGTTAATTTCCGTTAAGCCAGATCGTACAATATAGACGGATTCTTAATGTATCCCATCTGTCGGCATCATTTTTTGCTAAAGTCAGTGTATCATAAATTTAAGGAGGCACGAGCTTTTTTTACTTTTATGTTGAGGTGTAGATGCACACAATCTATTCGGACATCCCACCCGTGAGCATCCGACATATAACTGACTGTGGGTACAGCAGCGGTTTTCCAGTTGAAACCCAGCATGTCAAAGCAAAGCCTCAGAAAGTACTGAAGGCTTTTAAATACAAATGTAAGGTCTGTGGGAATAAATGGGACTCCTAACAGAAACACATCTTCTCCTTTATCGCATACAATAAAAATTTTTGCTTCAATTATATTGGCCATCATTCCTACTTATACTACTACATATTTTACTACCAATCTTGCTCAGTGTTGCCGTTTTGATACATATGTATCCAATTGGATACATTTTCGCCTTAAATTTTGGTGGATACTTCGTGTTTTTCCTCACTGTAAATTTAGACACCTTTTCCCATAAGTATTAGTAAGTTGAAGGAAAGTTTTTTTTTTTTTATTTTTATACGAGCGATTATAGCATTTTTTTAACAGTTGGCTGCTCACCCTCCAAGCAAGAAATTTTCCCTTATTCTTGACAACAGACAAATACAAGTTTTTGAGAATTCTTTTAATTTCATAGATAGTTCCCAATCCAACAGTTTTATAGAAAAATACTGTAACCATAATAACAGGAAATAACAATTTACTGAACTAAATGTAACAGGTCAGAATTAGTTTAAATTAGTATTATATTGATTGACTGGGAAACATTTTTTGCATGTATTATTTGTGGGAATCTAAACGAATAACAAACATCGAACATGCGGAAACTTTGGCCCGTATGTAGTTGTAGTCAGTAATTTCCCATTCCAAGAAATAGGTCTAGGAAAATAGGCGTTTAGGTATAGTACAAATTAAGTCGACACAAAAGTTATTCGCAGCTTTTTTCACAGAAATACCCTTGAAAATTATGTCAAAAAGCTGCAAATAACTTTAAAGTCGACTTAATTTTGACTATAACTACGGGCCTTTGTTTCTTAAATCCCTGTCTAAGGATGGGAAAGTACTGACTACTTGTAAATAAGTTTGTTATGGGGCCGCGTTTGTTTTACATAGATGCACTGTGTAAAAATGTCCGATCTTTTCGGTGGATACATTTGGATAGAGTTTTCGACTTTTGTGAATACTTTAAAGGCTAAGGCAGTGGCAACACTGATCTTGTTCCATTATTAATGTTGGGTGGTTCAAGGTAGCGAAAAAATAATATAAAGTGCTCCAGTTTTTAACTGACTTAATCCAAGCTTATGGTTCTCTGAACGTATGCCGAATATGGGAGTTGTCAACTCTCATCCCTCTTTAGTTTACAAAAGGTCATTCCGTTTAGCAATGGTTTCAAGTTACGGTTCTCTAAATATACCACGTCCACGGGAGGTGACTCGAACACTGGTAAACACTCACCCCTTTCAGATTATTATGAACACCTACTTTGGTAATGTCTACACACCAAATACACTCTCATGCAACTTATGGTTCCGCAGTTGTAGCTGATTTACACCTATGGGATGTGCCACGCCCCTTTTCAGAGTCCCCTTTTTTATACATTATGTTATGTCCGAGGTTACTCTCTAGTAACCAGTCAAAGCCCCATGAAAATCCTTCTAGTAGTTCCGGCGATTAGCAGTTCAAACATACAAATAGACAGACAAAAATTCTAAAAATGGTCCAAATGTATTCTATTATATTCCCTACATTCTGCTAAAGAAATTTTCAATGTAAAGATGCTACTTTTATACAGTTGTGTTAAGGTTCTGGTAAACGATGAGAATGATTCTCATGAAAAAGGGAATTCACTCTCATCCTCCCCGCCTAATTAGTAATGAGAATAGATGTTTACTCCACGATGAAAGTATGTATCCATTCTCATAAGAGTGAATTACTATTCTCATGAGAATTATTCTCATCGTTTACCAGAACCTTTATAGTAAGATATGTCGAAAAGTGACTTTTGTACTGATGGCGACAGTACATATCGAGGGTTTATGTCCAATTCCTTCTATATGCACTTTTCACATAGACTAGGTTCTGATGTTAGAATCCATCGGTACTTACATAATAACGACCACTTAAATATGTTAATTCTAACTTTGCAATCCCAATAGTTAACTCTACTAACAAGTGATTTATGCGGATAAATTTAACATGGTCGATTAATTTTTCTGAAAGTTTTAAATTGAGTGTATTGAATATAAGCCGTCGATATAAGTATACTATATATATAACCATGGATGCATAACTAAATATCCATACATATTTTCTTTCAAAATAATATACGATCGTCATAGGTTTAATTAATATATCTTAAATCTTCCTTTATTTCAGACTTTACTGCTACGCTCAGAAGCATGTTAAATCGATTAAGGCGGTCACACGCCCCGGCGAAGTTGCCGAAAAGCAACGCTACAAAAGTATACGACGCAACAAAAATCAACCGAAAATGTTCAAAGTACGTAACCTGCATCACAGTTCGCCCTACCATGTGTCCGATCATAAGGCTGCCGTAACAGTGGGCGTCATTATGGGTGTCTTCCTCATCTGTTGGGTACCATTCTTCTGTGTCAACATCGTAGCCGCCTTCTGCAAGACCTGCATCGGTGGTCAAACCTTCAAAATACTCTCATGGCTAGGCTACTCCAACTCAGCTTTCAATCCAATAATTTACTCAATTTTCAACAAGGAATTTCGTGATGCTTTCAAACGCATACTCACCACACGAAATCCATGGTGTTGTCGACAAGAAGTTGGCAATATACATCCGCGAAATAGCGACCGCTTCGTAACTGATTATGCGGCGAAAAATGTGGTGATGATGAATTCGGGCCGCTCGTCGGCCGAAATCGAACAAGTGTCTGCGATTTGACCAAAACGCACCGCTTCGGCGTTGGTGTGCTGTGTATCCAGTGCAGATGCTGCATCGCTGACGACGACATACGTTCCGTGAGATTCGGTGACGGTGGCAACCACGACCATGGTGGAAGCTGTGCAGGTTGTGACGGAAATGGAAACGGAATTGGTTTAAATTTGCTGAATTTTCAAAAGGGCATGGAGGAGGAGGTGGTGGAAGCAGTAGGCAGTGTTCGCTTATACATATGTATATAGGCAGATAGCCACTAATGGTGCTGCCGGAGGACACGGGCAAATCAGTGAAGGTGAGTGACCGACCGACTTACAGACCATTAAACAGTTAGTAACAGGGATAAAACAGGGTGAGCAATATAGAGCTAATGAGACTTTTGTAAACCAAAATGGACAGCGTATGCATGTGTGTATGTTTGTAGGCATATATGTATGATGTAAGTATGTTGCGAATAGTATATCAGTAAGTAACAATGTTAGATATAATAATTAACTAAGTGAGACGCTATTTACTGTTAGTGAATTAAATATTAGTATTTGGATAGAGCTTTCTGTGTAAAATGAGTAAGTTCAGCTAAATGATGGTTTTTATGTAGGACAGCAAATTAACTATCTGCCATAAGATTATTTTTTTATAAAAAACTTAGCCGTAAATGTAATTAACTAATGAGTAGTGAAATACTATAACTAACATTTGCGAGTAATTGTAATTTTGAAAACAAAAATTATTGAAAAAAATCGTTAAAAACGGCCTACATCTGAAAATAAGCGTTACTATTATCAATCATTTGTGGTTTAAAAAATGTTATATATGTATATGCATATTATTTCTTTCTGTTAAAAAAAAAATCTTTCGCTGTATAATCTGTGACTTTTAAGTAGAAAAACTTTCTGTAGGAAAAGTGAAAAATTACAATGAAAGGGAAAACAAATCTTATTTGCATTAATAATTTGTGACAATAATCTACTTTTGGTTGTGATAGTTTTTTTTCTTTTTGTGTCGTATCTATGTATTAAATTTCATTTGAAGCAAGTTTTCTATTATGTACCAAAGGATACCTTTGCTTTGCCTTTGCATAATTTTGGTGCATGAAGCAAAATTTTTGGGTAGTCGTTATCTAGGAAAATTAATGATGAACTTGATTCCGCATAACCATCCTCTGGATTTTCGGATTTTGTGTACATCTCGTTACCAGACGCAAATAAAAGCGAGCTAGTGTTTTGACGGCGAAAAAAGACGCTTAAAAAATTTAGTTTAATTTACGAAAAAAGACGCCTAAGAAAAGCTTCGACGAAGAAAGACGCGTAAACATAGATTTATACCTGGCCAAGGACTCCCACTTCAGCATTATTCCCCAAAATTTCTTTGGGGAATTTATATACTGTTACACCCGCAAACATATGTTGACAGCGAAAATAAGAGTCTTTCTTCGCGGATGTTTTTTTATGCGTATTTTTTCTAGCCCGCGCCTTTATTCGTTTTTTTTTTGTGACGATCTATACATATAATTAAATTGTAACAGACCGATGTCTATGCATTATAGATATTAAAGAAAAATTCATATCGGGGGACTTTATTAGATCAACAGAATTTCTAGAATTTTTTGTCTGTCTGTATGTTTGTACGCGCATTACTCGAAAACTAATTCATGGAATCGAATGCAGTGCTCACCTAAACAATGCTAAGAGTCCAACTTAAAATATAGGGGAAAAAATTATGGAGTTGCCACCTGTTTGAAAATTGTAGTTTAAGTAAGTTGATAAGATATAGTAAATATTGCAATATTCCTGTCATAAAAAAAAGCGGTTTAAGAAGGATTATAGTGGAAAATATTTAATTGGATTTAATTGATTAGATAAATTAAATATTTCAATATGTGTATCAAACTAAAGAGGTATAGACATAAGTATAAGTGGGTTGATAAGACCATATATTCTAAGAGATTGGAAATCCTTTTCATTTCAAAATTATTTTGGGTTATGAGCCTAGCGGAAAATATTAGGTGGATAAGGTTAGGCGGCAATACCCATTGGGACACACTTAGAGTTAGCGTCCTTTGCAGTACCACATGGGACTCACAGTTATTCTCGTTCGCCTAGAAAACGCTTGGTACTCAGCAAAAAAAGTGTAAAAACTACATATTAACATTCGTTTCTTTGGGTATACCTCACTGTTACCAGTAAATACTTTTCTGTCAAGTTGACGGACAGTATAGAACACAATTGGAGTGTAACGTAGATGACCAGGTCACGGATATTGAGATTACTCGTGTCCAAAAAAATCACTGCCTAGACTGAAGTTACTTAAATTTTGTATGAGAGATACAAATCTTAACAGTCGTTTCCAAAATTTATATCTGAACAGGATGCCCATTGAAGGAAGCTTAAAAGCTATCAGGCTGCTGAAGTCTTTTTTAACCCAATACTACCGTTTGTCGGTTTTGGAAGAGACCAAAAAAGCTTTGCCAATTGGTGTCGAGTCGGAAAATGTGTCCATTTTGACAAAGCACGTCAATACAAACTAGAGCCTTCGATTTCCCGAGATTTTTCGAGAAGCAGTTTCTCGCGAGGATCGCTTTCTTAGGAGGATCGCTTTCTCACGAGATTCTCGTGTATCGAAAAAGTCGTTATACTCAATTTAAGGCATCGTATTTAATTTAGGGTATTTAAAGCCTGAACAGTTGAATTTCTTTCAAGCGCAATACTCGTTGTTGCTCTCCAGATTATTAACCATGTGCATGTTCCTTTCCATTGAGATCTGTATTTTCCAACCATATAGAGCAATTTTTATTCTAATATTTTTCTGCCAATTTTGTACAAAAATATGGTTCATTCAATTCCTAAACTATGTGATAGAGTCGCGAAAATTCAGTAAATTTTAACTTTTTAATCAGATTTTTTACATAATTTTTTTTTGAGTATGCAGTTTTGCAGCACATTAAATACTATAAAAAGGTGTTTTGCATTTTTTCCCATATAAAGTATTTTCGAGAAAAAATTTTGTGTATAGAAGATACTTCAAAAATCAACGGTAGTTCCCAGCTACTTAAAACTTGCACTTTATTATAATAAAATTGATTGGGCTACAAAGCTGCATACTCAAAAAAATTCTAAAAAAGCTGACTAAAAAGTGAAAATTTTCATGAAAACTTGCAGAATTTTCGTGAGCTTTGCACAAAGTTTAGGAATTATATTTTTAATGTTAAAAAAAAAAACTTTTTTCACATGTCTGAAATTTTTAGTATACGTTCCTTTAGCAACTAGAACGTCCAACATGGTGCAACATTTCAAAGGAACACGCCATACGTTTTTAACGTTTTTTACGCGTTTTTTTGGAAATAGAAAGCGGGCGTAATTTTAGTTCGATTGCTGTACTGAGTTTGGTACAAACTGATAAATCGGTTACCGAGAAACACATACAGTGAACCAAATAAAAACTGGAACGCGACATTTTGGTAAGTTTTGGCTATTTTTCTGTATTTTATTTAATGTTTATTATGTTTTTTTTATTAAAGTATAGCTGATTACTAAACAAACACGATATAAATCCAAACTTCAGACTTTCTGCAAAGATTAAGCCTACCACGACTAGGTTGATTCCTTTTATGCTTCAGAACATTATAACTGGTGTCCGATAACAGTTTTAGGAACGCACCAGCTACAGTATACTAGTTATAAAAGCCACCACTTGACTCTTCATAACTTCTTTTCTCTCACAAGCACATATGTACTTTCAACGGGCTGCATTCGATTCTCCTCTCCAAATACTACCAGTTCATTATAAACTGAAACACGAGCAATCGACGCACCAACGTAAAAATAACAAGTAAGAAAGTCTAAGTTCGGGCGGAGCCGAACATTAAATACCCGGCGCAAATATTAAATATATGTTTTTCACCTTTCCGAAAGCTACCGCTAATTGGTAAGCCGGGTGTATCAATTTTGAGTAAATTAGCTTCCTTAAATTTCGAAATATTGAAGTTTCGAGCATTTCTAAAATTTACCGTCATATGAAAAGCGGCCTCAATTTTAGTCCGATTTCAATAATTGTCAACGTTTTGCTTTTATGTGGCAAGCACAATAACCATACCGAGTTTAGTACAAATTGGTAGAACGGTTACCGAGATACATATATGTGATCATAAGTTGGCGGTGCCCCACCCATTTTCCAAAATTTTATCACAAACGTATTTCTTGCTAAAGAATTGTTGCAAGCGTCGATTTTGAATAAATTAGCTTTAAAATTTACTAATTTATCGAATATTTTGTGTTTCTCTAAATTACCGTTATATGGGATGTGGGCGTGGTTATTGTCCGATTTAAAAAATTTTTGTCATTTGGTATGCTGTACCGAGGCCCAACAACTCTGCCAAGTTTGGAGCAAAGTGGTGGAGCGGTTACCAAGTTATACACATGTAACCATAAGTGGGCGTGGCTAAGCCCATTTTCCAAAAATTTATAATACTTTTATTTTTTGTCTCAAAATTATTGTAAATATCAATTTTGAGTGAATTATCTTCAGCGGTTGCTAAAATATCGCAGTTTTGGTATTTCTGAAAATTGCCGTTATATGGGAGGTAGGCGTGGTTATTGTCCGATTTTTTTAAATTTTCTGCCATTTAGTAGGCTGTATTAAGGCCAATAACTGTGACAAGTTTAGAAAAAATTNTGCTGTATCAAGGCCAATAACTGTGAAAAGTTTGGAAGAAATTCGTGCAGCGGTTACCAAGATATACACATGTATCCATAAGTGGGCGTGGCTACGCCCATTTTCCAAAATTTATAATATTCTTATTTTTCGTCTCAAAATTATAGTAAATATCAATTTTGAGTGAATTATCTTCAGTGGTTGCTAAAATATCGCAGTTTTGGTATTTCTGAAAATTGCCGTTATATGGGAGGTAGGCGTGGTTATTGTCCGATTTTTTTAAATTTTCTGCCATTTAGTAGGCTGTATTAAGNATTGGTAAGCCGGGTGTATCAATTTTGAGTAAATTAGCTTCC